GGGAGCGGGCGGCGGGGCAGTGGGGCAGTGGCCGAGGGTCGGGAGTAGAAGCCGGGCGGGAGAAAGATGGGGACGGGGACTGCTTGCTCGGCCTCCAAGCCTGAGGAGGAAACAGAGCTAAGGAAACCGGTTGTCAAGATTCTCCGAAGTGGCTAAAGGGTGTGATCGTTTGCTGTATACTATTTGAGCATTACTGTTTGAATGTTTAAGCACATTTTGCTCAAAAATGTGTATTAAATTTGTGTTGCATTCGAGTAAGACAGAGAAAGTCATAGGCTGTTTAAAGATCCATGTTTTATTGCCATGAGTTCTCCAAGAAGGATGGGAAGCCAGCACTTCCCAGGAAGTCGGCAGGGAGGCTTGGGGAACGCCCCAGCGGGTGTTCAGGAAACGGGCCAGAATGGCAGTCACCGCGGCCCCCAGCGGAGGGAGTCCCGGGGAAGACTTGGCCAGGGCAGGGGGACAAGCCCAGCCCGCCCTGCGCGATGCGGTTGTGTTCTACTGGTTGAAATGGTGCAAATGGCCTTCTCCTGGTGCCCGTCTGCTGAGGGGGCCAGAGCAGGAGGTCAGAGAGAGGCCTGGGAGGTCTGAGGTACCCAGGGTCCTCGCGAACAGGAATCCTGGAGGCAGAGTGGGTGAGGTTTGAGGGCACCGGGTTTGCGGGAGGGATCCTTGGAGAGCCTCTGGTCTCCCTCTTTTTCTAGCTGGCCTTTTCTGGAGAATGACATGCCCCCTTGGGCGCCCCTGCTACAGCAGGATCAGGCTCTTCCAAGGTAGCTTCCAGGTCCCCTGGCTGCGCTGGGAGGGAAGCCAGAGACACTGTCCTGCCTCACCTAATGGAATGAATGCCTGATGCCCAAAGGGGCTTTTCGGAAGCCAAGAGGCTACTAAATGGCTCACAGCTTGGCTCTTTTTTGGGGGTTTTTTTGAGTTGGAGTGTCACTCCGTCGCCCAGACTGGAGTGCAGTGGCACGCTCTCGGCCACCGCAGCCTCCACCTGCTGGACTCCGGCAATCCTTCTGCCTCAGCCTTCCAAGTAGATGGAACTACAGGTGCACACTACCATGCCTGGCTAATTTTTGATTTATTGTAGAGATGAGGGCTCACCAAGGTGCCCGGACGGGTCTCGAACCCACGGGCTCAGGCAATACACTCACCCCGGCCTCCCAAGGTGCTGGAATTACAGGCTGAGGCACCACGCCGGGCCTTGGCTCTGTTATTGATGAGTATAGCTGAGGTTTATTGAGCACATCGTATATGTAAGACGCTGTTGTGGACTCTTTACCTATATTGCCTCATTATTTGTGAGACTACAAGCAAGTCGTCGTATCTCCGGCTTCCTTCATTAAATGGGATATCTAATTTCATGGTATTATAGAAATACTCCAAAGCAACACTTCCAACTTAAATGTGCATGTGAATCGCCCGGGAACTTTGTTTGTTTAAATGCTCCTTCCAAGGTCTGCAAGCAGGGCCCAGA